ACTTAAACCCATCATTCCTTGTTCTGTTGCTGGGCCCCACTGAGCAGAGATTGTCCCCTTGCCCTTGACCCCCACCCCTCAGGTATTTCTCTCCGTTCCTAAGGTCCCCTCTCAGCCGTCTCCTTTCCAGGCTGAACAGCCCCAGGTCTCTCTGTCTCTCTTCCCAGCAGAGATGTTCAGTCCCTTGATCCCCCTCGTAGCTCTCCCTTGGACTCTCTCCAGTAGGTCCCTGTCTCTCAGTGTGGGAAACCACCCGGAGCGTCAGGAAGCAACAGGAGAACATGGCTTGAAGCTGTTTTATCACCAAACTTCATTAAGCCTTTTAATGACGTGCGCAGAATCTCGCTTTGTCCTCCTGCGTGCCACCGCTCTCGCACACACGTTCTGTGGCCGTGCAGGGCAGTTATTAAAATGTGCGTTGGCTGCGAGGCGATCTTGTCATGGCAGCGTTTGATCTCTGAAATGGCTGTGATATGGTGATTTGTATCATAAAGTGCCTTTCGTTCAAGAATCTGTGCTGCCCCCTCCCCTGTGCACAAAGCGATCACCACGCTGTGTCTTGTGGCTTCCTGGTGTTGCTCGTGAGATGAGAATAACTTCGACAGCCTTCGATCAGGATCAGTGGTGGTGTTGCAAAGAGACCTGGAGTTCGTTCTTAGTTCCTGGAGGTTAAATGCTGCTGGATTTATCTTCAGTCAGAAGATAACCTGGGAGAAGGAGTTCACCGTTCTGCTCAACTCTGCCTCTGAGGAAGTGCTGCAGAACAGTTCTGCATCGTACAATCGTTACGTGTGTTTTTGTTAAAGACATCACTAACATGTACCTGTTGGAAGGTTGTAGCTGGAAGCGGCGAGTCACAACAACTGGTCACATTTGCTGAATATTTCGCTTGCTTTATTAAACAAATAAGTTTCCAGAGCAAGTTAATGCAGCTGCGTTTTGAAAGGCTAGAATTCTGTGGAATGTTAGTGACTCTTAAATTTGTTCCGCTTAAAAAGAAAAAACATTTTAAACTCCTAAATTAGCTAATCTGGCAGGAGGTGATTTTTTTCCTGGATTTCTGTGTTGCTCCTAGCAATTCTGATTCTCAGCTCTCCCACAGCATCATCTCATATACCTGTGCTGGCTCTGCTTTAGTAACAATGGTGAAAAGAAAGAAACAGGTTTCTTTTTCGATTGTAACTGAAGCTGGGGCTGTCCAAAGAGATTCTTGCATGTCACAGGCCCATCAGAGAGCCAGCAGCTGTCTTAATGGAGTTAGGAGAGTTTGACAGTACGGGAAATGGCTTTGTTGTGGTTCAGCCCTTCGATAACTCTTCAACAGGTGTCCAAGAAGAACTTGATGGAGATAGTGAAGAAACTGATGATTCACGTGGATAAAGCCGAAGGGACGACGTACCGGGATGAGCTGCTGACCAAAATCATAGATATCTGTAGTCAGTCCAATTATCAATATATCACAAACTTCGAATGGTCAGTGGTTTTTTTTACGTGTCACCTTTGAGATGATCGGCGACGGTAACGTGCGACCGGGGGCTGATCAAATCGCGTCCCTTTGCCTTTTTGCAGGTACATCAGCATCTTGGTGGAGCTGACCCGGCTGGAAGGCACGCGGCACGGGCACCTTATAGCAGCTCAGATGTTAGATGTAGCCATCAGAGTTAAAGCCATTCGCAAATTTGCCGTTTCTCAGATGGCAATGCTCCTGGACAACGCTCACCTCATCGCCAGCAACACCCAGCGAAACGGCATCTGTGAGGTGCTTTATGCTGCTGCTTGGATATGCGGAGAGTTCTCTGAGTAAGTGCAGCCAGAAAGCCTGATGTGCTTTCCTTCAGACAAAGATTCTGGTCGCTGAAACGTACTTTTGAGAGAAGGATAGTTCAGAATAGGCACCTTAAAGCTAACAAAATTATTGCTTCTTTCCTGCTCCCTCACCCTGTAGAGTCCCTGGCAGTTTGTAACCAAGACAGACACTTCATTTGGAATATCTGGTCTTTTTTCTTGTCTCTGTAGTGCTGCCCACTCCTGCAGGATGGCCTAGTGGTGGGCATAAGCTGTAAGATCTTAAGACACTGAAGAGACAACCGAACCATTAAGGTCTAACCCCATTTATATCATAGGGAAAATGTCCGTATTTGACTGAATTAGTTTTTGCTTTCCTCCCTGTTTTGCCTTTGATGAAAGGTGTTTGCGAACCCTGTTCTTCCTGAGAATTAAAAGTTGTCTTAATTTTTGCTCAAAACTCCTCTGTACTCAGAGTAGAACAATTTTCAAAGTTCTCGTGCCACCATTGCCTTTTATCTGAAATAGATGGGGTTTTGCCTGTGGTTGTGTGTGCAGATTTGGGGTTTGGCGAGTTGGACAGACCGGGATACCGTGGTCTCCCTTTGTCGTCTGATGTGGTGTCTCCTTGCAATGGCCACTCTGAGCACTGGTTCCAGTTCCCCTAGCAGGGGGGATGGTGTAGAAAACTCTGATATGGCTTGGATCTTCGACTAGTGTAAAAAGTTCCGCAAAGAAGACCGTAGCTTAAGAAGCAGGAGGACGTACTCTCCTTTTACACTTTGATTTTTAGCTTTTAGTTTGAGGGAACTTAATGGACTGCTGACTTTTTTGTACATCTTCCATTTAGTTGTGAGCAGAAAATTTTGAGTAAGAGCACAAGATTTATTAAAGTGTCTGCTATGAGCTGCATTCTTTTCTGTCTGTTAAGCATTGCCTACTGGATTTTATTTGTGTTCAATAAATGATTGTTGAGAGGTGGGGACTAGATCCACCTGCCAATGGAGTTGGCGCTTAAAAGCACAGAGCTTAGTGCAGGCAGGGGATAATGAACTTGTTAAGGTGGGAACAGGTGTCCCTCCCCTTCTCTAAGAGAATAAAGCTCTAAATTCTTCTGTGCCATTTTAGTAGCCTAATTTGGAAGAGGAAAATACGGAGCAAATGGTGTCTCTGTATCTGCCCTGACTTTCTGTAGTGCTTTGTACTGCAACTGAGATTTTAGGAAGACTCTTCTCTAGGAAAATTTCTTTGTGAAAACTGAGGCAGTGTTGGCATTTCTCAATGGTTGTCTTTCACCTCTCCAACTCTGGATTTATAGACACCTCGAGGAAGCAAACCAGACGTTAGAAGCGATGTTGAGGCCTAAAGTTACGACTCTGCCAGGCCACATCCAGGCAGTTTATGTGCAGAACATGGTGAAGCTCTACGCGTCCATCCTCCAGCAGAAAGAGCAGTCTGGGGAGAAGGAAGCTGCTCAGGAAATCACGCAGCTGATGATCGAACGGTTGCCTCAGTTTGTACAGAGCGCAGATCTAGAAGTTCAGGAGCGGGTAAGAGAACAAAATTCCTTTGGGATTTATCGTACAAAGCCTCTCGTTTTGCACTGGAGCACATTCTGTGGATGTGCGTGTTCTGTATGCTCGAACTGGAGCATTTTCTGTATGAGCCATCGCTGTGGCTGGAGGGGAGCCTGTTCTCTGTGCTTCGTGTAACGTGGCAAGGGAGAATCTCCAACTCGACTAGGGAGGGTGGTGACATTTCATGCCAGAGCCTGGATCTTATTCCAGTTCAATGCCACCTTTGAAGACTGCTTGCAAGAGTTACACTAAAAAAAATTGAATTTTGAAATTGCTCAGGCGTGTGAGGACATGGAAAGGACACAGCTGGAATAGAGGGTTAACTTGGATTTTTCTGCGTTTGCTCCAAGCCTGCAGTTCATGCTGCTTCTCTTAATTCCCTCAGTGGCACAGAACAGTTATCTTCTGCTGCCTTGCATTGCAGCTGATTTTTTGCTTCAGTTTAATATTAATTCTGAAATTATTTCTGCTGCTGTCCATTGCGGTTGATTTTTTTGCCTCAGTGTGTAAACATTAAGTCTGAAATTACTTCTGCATTTGTTTTTAGGCTTCTTGCATCTTGCAACTAATAAAATACATTCAGAAGCTCCAAATAAAAGAGGTGCCTGTAGCTGAGGAAGTGATAGCCCTGTTTGCTGGGGAGCTGAACCCTGTGGCTCCCAAAGCACAGAAGAAAGTACCGGTTCCAGAGGGGTAAGGTTGCTTCTCTCTCCCAGAGCCTTCTTTAAACTTTTAAACTCTGCAATAGTAAAGCTACGTATGTGTTGATAAACACTGAAATGCTTGGTGTTTGTTTACTGCAATTCCTGCCAGCTTGGACCTTGATGCCTGGATCAATGAGCCGCCGTCAGACAGCGAGTCTGAGGATGAAAAGCCCAAAACAATTTTTCATGATGAGGAACAAAGGCATTCCAGGCATAGGCAGCCAGAAATAGATGAAGAGGAACTGGCCAGAGTGAGTGAATGTTAAAATGCTTTTCCCTGCGTAGTTCAGGAGTAATGTTGGAAGTGCTGCTGAAGCAGTCGGAGCTGGTGTGGGGTCTCGGTGTAGCCAGGGAGGCATCCTGCTCTCTGTGGCTCGGGAAATCAGATGATTTGATGGGAGCGAAATACGTATATTTGAATACGGGTGTGTTTTTTTAGGTATGGTGGAATACATGCAATATAAAGTTCTCTTAAAAGTCTAGCTTGCCTGTCTCATCCAAGTGGAGGCCCTCGTTAGGCATTCTGAGCTCTTGTAAAGATCTAACCTGTGAACTGTGGGGATCTGATGCGCTTCACAGTACCGGGTGTTGAGGATGGATGCTTGTGCCATACTCTGCAACGATTTGGTTCTGTAGACACTTTTGTTGGTGTCTGTTTAGTTGTGTTACTCTGTGTGCTCTGCATCAGCAGAAAAAGCAGCAGCATCTTCACTCACGGACTTCAGCAGCTTCTATGAACTCCCGTGATGCGACAGTTCTCAGTAGTGAAAACACCTTTCCTGCTTCTGACCTTTTTGTTTTCATAAAGAAGACTTTTTATTGATAAGAATCTTCTCTTCTTCCTCCCCTGCTGAAAACAAAAATGGAATCAATTGAACTGCCGTTGAAGTCTGGTCTTTGGGGAGTTGCTACCTTTACAATTAAAAAGCAAAGACAGGGTGTTCTAAGGATTGTTGGTTATAGTACTAACAGTACTTGTAGGTACATCCTGCTGGTTTATCGTATGCAAGCTGCTGTGCTCTAGTCTAGTAGTTATGTATTGTTCCAGAAATTCGGGGAGATTATATTTTGCACTTTGCCTTTTTTTTCTCTTTGCTTCTAAACAAATATTCCAACTACGAATACTTTTTTTTTTTGCTTTTAGCGTCGAGAAGCCCGGAAACAAGAACAGGCAAACAACCCGTTTTATATTAAAAGCTCTCCTTCCCCACAGAAGGTGAGTGAGCCTGAATTAAAATACCTTGCTGGTCTCATAGAATTGTCTGAATGTCAGAGCTGCAGCTTCCCTCTGGGACATTCTGATTATTCCCACTGCAGTTCCGCTCACTTATTAGCGTGCCGACTGAAGTGGAGTCTCTGACAAGTTTTTGTAAGTCTTGTTTGTGTTGAGAAACTCCCAAGTGACCCAGTTCCCCTAGAGCAGCCAGCTTTTGGGAATCTCTGTTGGACCTCAAGTTTGGAAGTGAGGAAGCAGTAATTGTCACAGCTCCCATTATGCGGCACTTTGGAACAGCCTGAATTAACTTGTCGTGGCGAGTGTGGTGTTTATATTTCAGCAAGGACTCTCTAAAAGCCGTAGTGATACAGTTCTTCTCTGTCCTTGTGTCACAAATTCCTGTGCGGGTAGTTTGTCCCCGCTTTGGATGATGGAAGGGTTCAACCTGCCAGGCACTTCATTAACACCAATTCTTAACCATGGCAGCGTGTTTTATGGATGAAAAGATTCTTGTGGTCTCAGCGTAACCTTTTTCAGGTATATTCAAAGGACTGCCTCATTTTCCTCAACTCAGACCTCAAAATTTACCTTTGGAAGTTCTTGCCAATACAACACAATCCAAAAATTCTTCAGAGAGGTGCAACGAGCCGCCTTCGGGGCAGCAGCAGGGTTAAAACTCCGTAGCTAGGAGAGTCTTCTCTAATAGTTATCAATGAGCTTTAAAATGCTCGATGCTACCACACAGGATTTAGTAGTAAGCTATTCCATTCCTATCCTTTAAAATGTTCAGTTAAAGGATTAAACTGCTTGTTGTTTTGCAACGTGTCTGTTCATCTAGATTTGGATGTGGCCAGTGCTCAGGATGTAACAAATTTTCCTTTTCCCAGCGATACCAAGACACTCCAGGTGTGGAACATATACCTGTGGTTCAGATCGACCTTTCTGTCCCCTTAAAAGTTCCAGGTAAGTGCAGCTAACCTCTGAAATTAATTACAGAAACTCAGTTAAGCAGGAGTAATAATTCCTGCCCAGCAATTCCTCCTTCAGATTTTTAAATGGGAAGGAGCATAGAATCACAGAATGTTGGGGTTGGGAGGGAGCTCTAGAGATGATGCAGTGACACCCCCTGGCAGAGCAGGGTCACCCAGGGCAGCCCCACAGGAACGCGTCCAGGCGGGTTGGAAAGTCTCCAGAGCAGGAGACTCCACACCCTCTCTGGGCAGCCTGGGCCAGGGCTCCGGCACCCGCACAGCCAACAAGTTTCTCCTCGTGTTGAGGTGGAACTTCCCATGTTCTAACTTAAACCCATCATTCCTCGTTCTGTTACTGGGCACCGCTGAGAAGAGATGTTCGAGTCCCTTCATCATCCTCGAAGCTCTCCGTTGGGAGTCCAACGGAGAGCTTTGAGGATGATGAAGGGAGTAGGTCCCAAGGAGACTCCACTGGTGCTGGGCACCACTGAGCAGAGATTGTCCCCTTCCCCTTGACTCCCACCCCTCAGATATTTCTCCACGTTCCTAAGGTCCCCTGAGGGTGTTTGGTTTTCCCCCGCAGGAATGAAAAAAAAAGGAATGCCTATGTCTGACCAGTATGTGAAACTGGAAGAAGAACGAAGACATAAACAGAAACTGGAGAAAGACAAGAAGAAGAAAAAACAGAAGAAAGAGAAGAGAGGGAAACATCATCGCCATAACTCTTTGCACACAGAGAGTGAGGAGGATATTGCTCCGGCTCACCATGTTGATATCATCACAGAAGAGATGCCAGAGGTCAGTTACTTTGGTTGGTTGTCTGAGTTGTGGGGTTTATCTGTGAGCTATCTCTTGAGAGACCTTTTTCCTAAGAATTGCCAGCCAGTCCATATTGTTGCAGTTCAAAAGCTCTGTTTCCTTGCAAAGCTCTTTAAGAAATGACTGATTGAAATGATGCTAGGCTATTCTTTGCAGGAGAAGAAATTATTATCTTTGTGCACAAAAATTGCCACTGAAGCTATTAAAAAAACACCAAAAAAAAGCAACCAACAAAACAAACAATATGCATCTCTGCTATAAAAGTAACGCTGTCCAAATAGTCGCTTCATTTATTATGCTCTGCTGCTTCACTTTGACATTAACTTGCTGTCTAGTCAGCAGGTTTGCAGCTGATGATAATTAATTGCACATGCTAATGATGTAATCTGTATTTGTTCCTAAAATTTCCTTTAATCAAAACCGAACAGCAGCAGTTCAAATCCTGCCGTTTACAAAGAATGGTTTTCTGTTCTAAATTAATCTCGGAACTAGATGCCGCATTAAAGCTCATTGTTCCTACAACTTACTGTGCCTGACTGCAAGCTGGCCTGTGCCAGGGTTAACAATCTTAAAAATGTGGTTTGGGCAATGTAAAGCTTTAGTTTTGAAATTGCCTGGGGGTTATTTCTGCACCGGGTGGTCTCTTCTTATCTCTCCTGCAGAATGCTTTGCCCAGCGATGAAGACGACAAAGATCCCAATGATCCATATAAGGCACTTGATATCGATCTCGATAAGTAAGTGACAGATTTACACGTGGATTTTCTTAATTGTGAACCTGAACGTGTGAGGGCAGGTCTGGGGCTCAACAGGCTGCAGTGTGCTAGGCAGGAAGGCGAAGGCTCTCGCTGTGTCTTGGATGTAACCTCATGGGATCATCCAGGCTTGGATTCCCTCTGCAGCACGGACGACAAAAGCCAAGCTGGAAGTAGTGGAGGGTTTGGGGAGGGACCGCACAATCGTTTTGGTGACTGACAAGAGTCTGGAAGCACAAGCAGCGTGGCCGGGATCAGGCGTGCGAGAGTTGGGCTGAGCTTTTGGGCGTACCCATGTCTCTCGGATCTGACCTGCCTTGTGCTGAGTGTGAGCTCCTTCATCCGTGCTCATCTCGCAACCACCGTGCGCATGGCGCGCCCGCACGCCCCGCATCACCATCGCTTCACCAGTCCATGGACTGTAGTTCCACTGCTGAAAAATGTGTTTCTAATGTGGCCGAGCGAGCAGTCTGTGATAACTCTGACCAGAGTCTGGTCCCCGTTCAGCTACTGGTGACGGTTCCAGCAGCCCAGGCTGCAGCGTGGCACAGCCCGCGTCCCTGCACGCCACGTGGCGGTTAGCAGCAGGCTGTTACACGTTGCACCCAGAGGGCTTTTTTTTTAACTCGTATTTTACAGAATCGCCACGCTGAAAATAACTGTTGGGTTTTTTGGCTTGTGGATGCCCACTGTAAAGTTTTGAAGGCACACGTGTGCACGTGTAGCACCTCTGTCTCTCATCAATACCCACTTTAAAGTCTGTGCCGCAGTTCTCAGGTCTGTAGGGCTCTGGCCCCTTGCAAAAAAGCAATGGAGCATCTTTAAAAACTGAAAGAACCATTTCTCAAAAACTTGCTTTTTCCCATAAGCTGGTCACATTCCTCTGTGGCTGCAGAGGGCAAGCGTATAAAAGGAAATTAATTTCTGCCTGTAGACCTCGTACTTGCCATAATGAGCCTCAACAGTGTAGAAAACACTCCAGCAGAGCTGTTCCTGAACGCTGTGCTCCAGGAGGCATCTTCTGGTCTTGGGTGTTGTTTCCATCCATTCTCTTTCCATTCCTGTGAGTCGGTGTGTGCTCTCCTGTCAAGTTTTCTCATGTCTCTGTCCTCTCTCTTTTGTTTCTGTGCTCGCACTGCTCTGTCTGTGTCATGCTCACCCGCAGTCTGCTTTCAGGGAAGCCTGCCAGGTAAGAACATCTTGCTGAGTGCTTGCCCTTCGGTTGGTTGTGATGGCCAGCGTAGGTACGTGAAGGGTGGTGAAACTATTGAAATCGTTGACCCTCAGATTTGTGTGAGTCTGTTTCATCCCTGTTCCTGTGCAGGTGTGTGTGAAGTAGCTAAAAGTGAAGATCTGTTTGCTGGTCAGACGGGTCTGTCTTGTCCTTACAGTGTCTGCTGCAGAGTGAGAAATTAATTGGGTCTGGTTCTTCATGCAATATAAGCAGGAAAATAAAGGCAGATGAGACCACTAGAAATCTTCCTGAACTTGCTTGCTACTCAAATGTCAAAACTAATCTTAAGTAAAAGCTGTAAAAATTGGGAAAAAAAAGGCAATAGGTGAACAAGAGAGTGACAAAAATGGGAGAAATTTCTTCTCTGGCAGGGGGGTTGGACTAGATGATCTTTCGAGGCCCCTTCCAACCCTGACATCCTGTGGTTCTGTGATTTCCCCAAGTCATGGCTTTGGGATACAGTATAAATCTGAACTGCTACTCATGCTTTTTTCTTGGAAACAGCCATTTGAAACTAAACACGAGTATTTAAAATATAATGGTAGAGTAAAGGTCATAGCGTAAACTTCCAAAATTAAGCAATTTATTGCTTGAAGTAATTTCCAGTTGGAGTCCTGTGTTCACCAATAACAACAAAAAGCACGTCCTTTCAAGGGCTGTTGGAGCCGCGCTATCATTCCACTGCTTGAATTTCCACACTGTCGCAAATGCTTCCTGTTGTTTCACATCTTTGCTCTTCCACTGGGAGCGGTTCCACAGAAATTCAGCACAACGCTCAGTGTGTTTGTTGTTCTGCAGGTGGGTCGTTACCACTTTTAAGAGTGACCAGGTTTCAGCAAGAGCTTGACTGTGTCACCCTCAAACAATTCCTAGTAACTCATCCATGAGGGCACTACCTGCAGTAACAGAAATTTCAGGTGCAGAAGTAGCACTGATTTAACATTTTTGGGGCCCGACTCTTTAAAAACAAACACGTACCTTGTCTTGGACATCCAGCAGATAATCTGAGCCTGGGGAGACTCTTTGCAGAAGGGTAAAGGTCTCTTTCTTTTTAAGACCCTTAGCAGACAGCGAGAAGCTGCCAGTGCAGAGACACAGAAACGTGGAGACCCTGAAGTCACCAGACACAGAAGCTCCCCTGGGAGAGAAGAAGAGCAAGAAACCCAAAAAGAAGGAAAAGAAACACAAAGAAAAAGAGAGAGACAAAGGAAAGAAGAAAGAGAAGGAGAAAAAGGTAGTAGAGGAGGAAGAAGAAAAGAAGGTAATTCTCCAAGACTTGAAGTATTTTCAAAACTGTTCTGATGGGATGTATATATTGCTGTGTTCTGTTTGTTGCTTAGAAACAATCAATTCTCACAATTCAAACAGCTGAATATTTTCAGCCTTTATTTCCTGAAATTTTTACAGCCGTAAGAGCAGGAATTTAGAGATTTCTGTTCCTAAACATAACATTTACTTGGCCTCGTAAGTTAGCAGAATTCAGCGTACTCTGCAGCCTACACAAGCGGCTCTTGCAGCTCAGATTTGGAAGCTGAGTTTGCTCGTATTTTGTCTGTTCTTAAAATGGGGAACTCTTTTGGCTAAATATCCAGAGCTCACTATAGTTCTGCATCCTGTCCCTCATATGCTTCCAAATATTTCAGTTACAAAACTTGACATCAGCTGTCAGTTACTCTGAAGACTTGACGTATCCTTCTTGTGAAATACCCCACAGGGATGCCCTTTTTCTTGAAGGTGCAGCTCTGGCCAGGTTTGGAAGCGGGCTCCAAGGTCCAAGTTTAGCTTCTTGAACTATGTGCTGTGTATGAGCATCTGGAGTGATGCGTGTCTGTGAAAACCTAAGGTTTTAATTTCGTTGATAATTTGATTTATCTATTTTAAACCAGAGTGGAATCAAAACAGCCATAATGGGTTTTGTTTTCTCTTGAAATTCAGGGAGATGACTTGGATTTCTGGCTCTCCGCTGCTCCACCACCTGCTTCCAGTACCCAGCCACAGGTAGGCATCTGACCACATCGCAGGCAGCTTTTTCTTCTGATTGCATCTTAGCTGGGAGGCGAGTGCTTCGTCATTCTGCAGGCGAGAAGGGAGAGAGAGGCTTCGTCTCCTCAACTTATTGCTGTGGAGCAATGACATTTTATCTCCCCAGTTCACAGACACTCTAATGGGAGGTTTCAAGCTCGTTCTGCTGTGCAGAATAATTGATAGAAATACAGCTACAGCTACAGGCTTGGTGGATTTTAATATTATTGGTGGATTTTGATAGATTATTGTGTGGTTTTATTTCCTAGTGTGAGCTAGACACTAGCAATATTAATAGACATGAGACACACTCTGAAAGAAAGAGTCTCATGAATTTTCACGGGAGATTTTTAGAAGAGGCGACGAGGAATGTGAGGGGATGGATTCCTTGCTTGCATGGATTCTTTTCATGGAATCCTAGACTGGCC